GTGTGTGTGTGTGTGTGTGTAGTATATATATATATATATATATATATAGTATAACAACTTTTACATTGCATCTATACATAACATTGATACGAAGCATACAAAGATAAAAAAATATGGTGTGTGTAATAATATTGATTACATTTAAAGAAATGAATTAACTTTAACACATGTAGGTCAAAAGTTAATTTAATGTGTTATTTGCATATTGGTTTATGATAAAACTTTTCTTTTATTTATAATTAAACTCACTTCGAAATAATGTTTTCCTTTATTTGAAAAATGTCATTTGAATAAATGCAAGAAGCCCTAATACAAAAGTTAGACACTGAATACTGTATAGACTGAATCCAGTAGCCTGAGTTAAATAACATGTATTGATGCACATTGACTGATTTCCTACAAGATTGCAATAGATGACAGGGTCTAAAAACAAGCAGTTAAATACAGGATACTAGGTCCGAGCCTCTGAGGAGGCTGGCTTTAATCTAATCTTTAAAACAATACTTTAGAGAATGCTCAGGTGCTTAAGATCCTACCACCTGTGTTTAATAATGATTATGAATTGCTGAAAGAGCTATTTAAAAATTTAAGTAAATTCAATACTGATACTCATCTACATTTCACACTTCCAATCTTAAAGCTATCTAACTGATAATATGTATATAACTGTAGTTGTGAATATATCACATGAAAAATTTTAATTAAATAAAATATGACTGAAAATGAAATGTAGATATATAGTATTTTAAATGAATTTATTGTCATTATTAGCTAAAAACATTTTAATTACACAAGAAAATTTTTGTACATGTACATTGTAATTCCAACGTCTAAATACTGTCAAGCCACCACAACTTGTCAATTCTGATCTACTTAAAATAGAAATCTTCTACACTGGCTGCACATTGTATTTATTTTTCTAAGGTAGAAGCAATAGAGTTTCTAGCCATTGCAATGCCCTTCCTACTATAATCTTTAGTAACAGAGGGTAGGTTGGCCAATGCTGAGCATGTATACATGACACCTGTAAGAAATAAAGTATGGAAAGTGATGTAATACTTTACATATATGCACCTTTACAATAAACTAAAATTATATGAAAAGAGTACTACAAACAATGTACTAGAAAATACTTACTAAATATTGTTTTTGTTCTTGTTGCATTTACTTGTTGTTTAATGACTGTATTTTGTTTACATATGACTATGTCAGCCAAATACTGATACCATTTAAAAGATGAGACGTTTCAGGCACTTTATCAACTCTAATAGAAAGTCAGTTGTTTTTCATGTGGCATGATGATATGTGGTTTAGTTTGTTCAATGAAATAAGATATGTTTTGCTCATATTTATAGTTTTTGAAAATTTTTAGATACTGGTTTATAATTTGTTCTAATTAGATTTAATTTTCAAGTGTTCTTACAAAATTTTATTAATGAAATAAGAGAATCACTCTCAAAAGTTTTTTATAGTTTAGAATTATTACTTAAGAATATTTTTTTCCAGAAACATATGATTAACTTACCCTAATTTTTGATATTTTATTTTAAGCTATACTCTCCAAATCCAAGTTAAAATCATGCATTTTCTTTCCCAAAACACATCTAAAACATCACAACAATTATCACAGATTTCTCTTTGAGAGTATGCAATTCTCAGACATCAACTGGTTCTTCAATTCCACTTGTTCACAGATTTAATGCATCAAAAAATAATATCTATAGAATAAAATAATTTAATGAGATGTCAAAGTCCTTGTTTGCTTATCTTTCTTTAAAAAAAGGCATTTACTACAATAATCTTTAATTACAAAATAATTACTTGAGGGCTGTTACTATGGTGCCAAAAACAATTCTAAGTCCATTTTACATTTCCTTACTGGTAGAAAATTACAGTTTAGATGCAATGTCTTTCAGACTCTATCCTGATACAATTTTATGAATAAGAAGTGTCACAACAAGTATCATTCAGTATATGTAAGTGATTAATCAAAAGCAAGAGTTCCAACAATCTAAGTGTTTAAACTTGAATTCAGCTCTCAAACAGTTGGTATTTAAAAGAAAACTGTTACAATAAAGTCTGGTAAAAGTTATTAATTTACAGACTTCTATGTGTTTTTGCATATTTTCTACATCTACATGTAACTATTAATACATATTTTGTCACAGTGAGTTTTTTTATGAATTTTCTTTGAATTACTTTTTTTTGTAAAATACTTACATATAAAATAAGGAATAGATAAAGTAAGAATATAGTTGATGTCATTTTAATATGTATTAGTTCTTTAATACCCTAACCCTTTTCTTTCCTCATGGTACTTGGAATTAGTTATCCTGGAACAACCTCATCCTTTTAAATCACTTATATTTATGTATTAAATATGCTGTTTATCAAGACTTAAAAACTGATGTATTTTACTGAGTCTACTCAAAGCCTGCATTTTGACAATGTACAGGTAAACTCAAGGAATAGAAAATAGTTGTTATAATGAGAAATAAATGTTTTGAAATTATTCACACATAAAAGCTTTCAATATTCGACACACTTTTAGTCAATATTACATCTATGACTTGCTAAGCTAATCCATGTGCTAAATGTCAATCTAAACATAGAAATAAGTTGCATATAAATTTTTCAATTAGTTAATGGGGATGTGTATAACCATGAGTTTCATGTAAACTTACCACAGTTCCAATAACTAACAGCTTTTCTTGATAATTCACTTCTTTCTGGGATCTAAATTAATAAAAAAATGCACTCAAACACACAATACATATATATATATATATTAGACACACACATACACACACACATACTTCACAAAAGTTTCAAAAGCACTCAAAGTGCCTTTTTTTTGCCAAGTTGTATTAAATACGTGGCAAAGAATATATATGTTAAACAACTTGTTATAGTGAGACTTGCCTCACTGTAAAGATATCATATACACGTGAAATACTTGAATGACTATACAGAAGAAACATATACTTCAGTAACTCTAAATGTAGCCATTGCTTTACCCTTTCAGAACATTTATACACAAGTAATAAATACTTACCTCTGATGTACACTGAGATGTACACTAACCTATGTTTTATTCATGGACAGTTTCATAGGTAAGTAACACATTAATATTTGTCTCTGGATTTTTATCCAGATAAATCCTAAATGATATATTATAGATACTTCTAGGTATGTCCTGAGCTACATATTTGGCAGTTAATCAGGTTAATTTTGTCTTCACTATACATATTACCAGAGTTAATAATCACTTTTATAAGACTGGCCTTGACAAATATTTTCAAATCTAGGAGACAGCCCAAAAACTCAGGAGCCAGGTGTGTCTAACTTCATTGCTGTTTGAGTGCATGCTAACAATCACATGATATCAACACCCACTTGACAGTATTGCCTGAACTAGCTGCCTTTGGTCCTGTCTGAGTCTAAACACGTGCACTGATTGGTTGAATTGAGAGAAAGAAGAAGAACAAAATAGCGCAAATGTAGTGACACGTTATGCAACCACAGCTCTTCATTCCTCAAAAAACATGAGCTGAATCTGCCATTAAATCAGTTTGATTTAGGACTCAGAGAATCAGATAATAGTTCTGGACTTCCAAGAGTACAGAACTGTTCAAGATTCAAGTTCTATTTTGTGCATCCTTATGCACAAATAAAAATGGGAGAAAATACTAGGTGCCACGATGAAAATTTTAGTTGCCATGACGACCTGGCATCCGGGATTTTTTGAGTCCTGTTTTAAGATATTCTTACTTTTTTCCTAAGATAATAGACTGTAAGCATATAAAAAGTATAGAGTGATTTTTGTGAAAATATAAAATTGTATACAGCATTGTCTGATATAAACAAATATTTTTAATAAATCCTTTCAAAAAACCCAAATGAGTGGGCATGGAGAGAATTGCTGATTAAGACATCTTGTATTTTTACATTTGTTGGTGAAGAGGGATTGTGTAGTTGAAACACCAATAGACAAAGTAGATGAAAAACCTAAAATATCGCAAACAGCTACTGCTCTTATCCTTTTCCTGACCAGTATGTATAATATCCATTTTTAGAAGAAAGACTTTCATCAACAAAATAATTTTTTGAAAATTTAGACCAATCAATTTGAAGTTTCCTGCAAGATGAGAAAGTGGTCAGAATATGAGATACATTTATGAAATACAAGACAAAAGCTGACAGGAGAAAAAAAGTTATGGAAAGAGTTTATGAAAACAAGCTGGTGCTCTAATAATGTGTAATTTATTATGTAAAAAGAGTAACAACTAAGGGAGTAACCTTGTGAGAGAAGATGTATTTCTCTGTCCATATTAGAGCTCAACGACTATATTTCATCAATAAAATTGGCTGATACTTGAGTTATCTGCTTATACTTAAACCATCATATAAATATGGTAGATGTCTTTTACATTTTATTTAAAAAAACTAGCAAAAAAAATTCTTGTTTTTATGCATATCGGGATTCTTAATCTCAATTGAGAAATCAAAAAATGGTTATCTTCCCAAGTTAAAATCTATTGTTATAGCCATAAATGATTTGAATTGAGTATACCAAAATGTTTCCACTATAGTACACTCAAATAACTAAATTCAGTGCAGATTGAGAGATAAGAGAAAGACAAAAGGAAAAAAAAAAAAATACAAAAGTCTAGTTTATTTCAAACATAGTGGATGCATTACTTCTCTGAAAATCATAAGCTTGAACTTTAGTTTCTAGTGTCTTAAGACAACGTTCTGTACTTTTGTAAACTTTTTTATCCTGAGCATATTATCACTACTACATAGCCTGTTATCTTCTTCAGACCAAGTAAATTCCGTAATCATAATTACAAGCTACAAATCTTTTCATGTAAGTTATATTTCATCATTTTACACCTAATTCTTGACCTTAACCCATTGACTGCTGATTCACCATAAAGGGTATAGTCCACCTCTGGGAGATTAATGCAAGTGTGCCACATATGGTGTACGGCTTGCAAAAATTCCATGTACATTTAGAGCAGCCACAATCAATGGGTTAATGTAGCTTAAAAAAAAGAAAATTAAAATGTTTAACATTGCCTATTGTGCTTAAATGAAATACTGTTTGGAATATGGAGATCACGTTATTATTACCCGTACAATAAAAACATTTCTTTTTTAACTTAAGATTAAACAACTTTAGATGAAATAAGAGAACATATAAATGTGTGGATTCCTCATCATCACTTACTTTTTGTGCATATTCTCGAGCTCCAGGCATAATATTGGCTACTTTATGAAAGGCATCTGATGCTTGAGTTCCTTCACTCCATATACCTTGGTCCACAGTAACATACACAGCTCCTACACCAATTCCCAACTTTAGGGCTACCCTATATAGAAAATATAAACAAATAATTAACTAATTAACTTTTAATATAGATAAAATTGCCTTAAAAAGTATCTAAAAGCAAACTGCTTCAAATAAAATAGTTTAATGTATTTATCTAGAGTTTCATCCATCTGAAGTTTATATTATTTCACAGCAGCATAAAAGGGTTATCACTAAAAATAACTAGTATAGATGCATCTAAATTGTGAAATCGTAGACTCTGGTGAAAGGATTCTATTTGGTAGCATTTACAAAGTGAGAAAATACTACTTCAGTATTTAATAAATTATTATCATACATTATAATACATATCCTACTTTGTTACTTTGTTTTTGCATAAAGTATACGATGGAGAATTAGAGGTTATTTCTTGAAAAAAGTTTATTTGATTTTTTAGTGAAGGAGGGGTGTGATATGATTTATAGTTTGTTAATATTATAGACATGAAATGGATTTTGTTATCAAACTTTTTTATGTAAAAACAATTACCCAGACCAAGAAAGGTTTCAGGGAAAGTTGTTTCTTTTATGAGATAAAGATATATATATATATAACCTCTTGTTAAGTGCTGGCTTCCACTATAGCTAACAGCAACTCATTCCTTAATCCAATCATCATATTGAAAAAAATAAAACTATCTTAACTGAAGCCTAGCCTGTCTTTTTCCAAATCTTAAACTTGTGTCCTCTCACAAGTTTATCTTTAAAATACAGCACAAATAAATCAGAGGCCTTTATCCTATTGATCTTCTGGATAATCTTGTAAACTTTAATTACTTGAATAAGATAATATTTTAACCATTCTTTTCTGAAGAGAAAATAAGTTAAGACATTTTAATCTATCCTTATAATTCTTCAATCATTGAATCATGCTAGCCCTCCTATAAATACTATCTAGAAAGTCAATATCCTGTCTTAGGTAAGAACAAAGCTGTATACAGCATTCCAAATGAGGACTAAATAGTGATTTGTATGAAGAGATGATTACATTCCTTGATTTGTAATCAAATTGTATTAGCTTTACTACCAGCAACAAAGCACTACCTTGATGGCTTAATGATGCAAAAAATCATTTGCAACAGTTGAACTATAAAGTGATTCTCATCTATAAATGTATCATCCTAATCATGATAAAACAAGCATTCTACCAATACTTTGCACTTAATATAAGTAAAAGTTAGTTGCTAAATATTTATACAATTTACCAATTGACCACAGTCATTCTGTAGCACTTCAACACACTTAATGCAGCTAAGAAAGACCAAAAAGCTTGATACCATCAGCAAACTTTACTAGCTTATTAATATGGTCTTATCAATATCATTAATGTAAACATGAAAATGTAAGTCCACACCCTTTCAACCACATGACAAGTAACATCCTCATAATACTCAACAGATTGGTAAGAAAATCATTACTTTAGTGAATACATTTTGTTATATTTCTAAAGGATTTTGCAAAACTTCTTTTTTTAACTAGATAGTATTTTATCCCAATACAGAAGTAAGACCATCTGGCTTATAATTTTACTGATACTTTTAAAAATAGGATATTTCAGTGTCAGAAATATTGCTTCAACCTTTTTTGTAAAAACAGAACATTTAAAAGCTCAGCCATCTTACACCCTTCCAATGAGAACCTTGTGATCATTATAATGGCCTAACCATTTTTAACATTTTTGAATACATTTAAGAAACTTAAAATCTTCTTGCTGTTAGTTTTAACATTATCAGCCAGCTATTTCTTATAAGCCCTGTATTTTGTAATTTCTTTTTTAATCAAATTTCTAGCTTTTTTTTTATAGTCCTGTGAATGTTTTCTCCTACCTGCCATTTTGAACTTATAGCATTTACCTCTCATTTTTCCCATTATATCTTTAGTAAGCCAATTAGGTCTGATTTTCTCTTTTATACTTTTCTTCATTTAAGAACATGCCTATCTTCACTTAAAGTAAATTAGTTTTGGGAACTTCTCATATCTATCCCATATCACCTTTTAACTCTGTATCTCAATTCATTAATGTTAAATCTTGTTTCATGGTCTCAATACTGGTTTTCTGAAAATTAGGAAATAAAATTTTATTTCTTTTTATATCAAAATGTAGCAAAACATCAAATCTAATTATGCAATGATCACTATTTCCCAAATGTTCCCCATTTCAATTCCTTGCTAACAATAATACATTATTAATATATTTTATTTTACTATTTTAATAAGTATCTAAACATTTGAAACCAAATCTTATTGATCTGAAAATAATATTTGTCTGCTATTGAACTTTAAATATCTTTTGTTTTTAATAACCTAGGGTTACCTATGTATATCAATGTAAAACAGAAATTAGAGATGTAACATTTCCAAATGCTCTGCATTAACTTTTATCACAATATTTCCATTTTATAACTGTATTTCACTCTTCTGACATGTTGATCATTACAAAGAACCTTGTTGACATAATTCATTACAACTAACTTTGCTGAGAAACAGTAGATGCTTCTCAATATATCCACTAAAGTGTTTGTACTTCCAAATTCTCATAACACAAATACATCATTTTAGAATTTTCAATGTTAACACACATTTCCACTTGTACTTGCTCACTTTCCAACACTGTCTAAGTCATTCTAATAAAACAAATATTAGCTGGTTTTACTCAAACATCTCATGATATTTAATTGAAAGTCATACACCATTTAAATCACAATTACCTATTATTACAAAAATAAAAATATCTCCATTTTTCCAAAATACATAATTGTGGTTTAAATGTTTTATTGTTTATTAAAATAAATTTTCTTAAACATTTTAAACATTAAACAGCATCCAAGTATATTTAATGTGAATAACTAAATACCCAAGTAAATTTCAAAATCACTAATATAAGTGAACAATAAATTTCTCTTTGAAGGACTAAACAGTTACATTCCCACTAAATATTTGAATGATAATGGCTGGCTTTGAGTGGTTTATTAATTAAGTTTGAGAAATTTAAATAATATGTTACAGGACTTTTCAAAAACCAAAAATAACAATCAAGTTGAAAGTTTAGACATTCTGTATGTTTTACTGGATGAGGGTGCTGTGGCATGTATTATTTATCTTGACTTTCAGAAATCCTTCAACAACATGCCATAACCAAAATGAAATATGTGTTTCTGATGAAAGCTGGTTTGTATGATGAAATTGAATTTATAGTCAAAAATTAAATGGATTTATTTTCATTCTTCAAGTCTTCCTTTAAGCTTTTTACTGCATCCAACAAATCATTCTAAACATCACTTATCCAGTTACTAATTTAAGAAAATAAAGCCTTCTTAGCTGATGATGATGATGCCTATCTTTCCAAAATTTGTATTTGTGTTACCATTTTAACCATTAAGTATAAAAAAGCTGATGTATCATATCAGATCCATTAACTGATTAAGATTAATAATAAGAATCTTAAACACCTCAATCAGATCCTCTCTAACTTTTCTTTTTCTCATGAGAAGCTAATTTCAGGGATCTTAATCTGTCCATCCCACACTCAGGTATCATTCTAGAACTAGAAGCCCTCTTCTGAACCAGTTCCAACAATTTAATGTCCTATCTAGGATAAGGAGCCCCAAACTGAACTCAGTGTTTCAAATGTGGTCCAACCAGTTAAAATTAAACTGAAATTATAACCTCTTTAGAGTTGTAATTTGTATTCATTACTTCTGACGTTCTGTAGATTTAACTTAATAGTAACAGTAATACTAAAATTAAAAATTAAAATCCCATTTTCTCTTCCAAGTTCCAGTACCACTAGGAATAGCACAATGCTTGGGAGGTTTAAGAAACAGACCAATCAGAACACCAAGATTCTTTACTTAGTAAACCTTAGAGTTAGCCAAACTTCCATTTAACTTTCAAAATTCTAAATCAAGCCCTCAGTGATATGTTTTAAATATCCTACTCAAGTATTCCTAACTAAAGTGAAGGTTAAGCTTGATCAAAGCTCCGAGGCATAATCAATATTTAAACATACTTTTTAAAATTAATCGAAATAAGATTTCGACGAAATTAGACAAAGTAATAGCTAATAATTTTCAATTAACATTTAACCAATAAAATTTTAATAAGTCTTATATTTCATTCTAATTCTTAAAACCTTACTTCACGAGAGACATAACCATCCTGGCTAACAATATATCTCCTAGGTAGCGCTGCTTCTGCAACACCCTTGATTTTATATTACTAGGAGCTTTTAGCAATAAATTATTATTAATATTATTTTATTGGTGGTTACTGAAATACTACATAAGCAATGCTCTTTAATAAACTTATAACTTTAATTTATAAAAGCGTCATTTCATCACGAGACAATACAATTATATATTAAAATTAAACTCCTGTTAACCTTCTAGGTGCCAGCACTTAACACTATAAACTGGATCGTTCCAACGAAAGATAAAAGGTAAGCCGCTCAGTGGCTCAACGGAAAGATTGTAGGCTTACAACGCTAAAAATCGGTTTTCAATACCCGTGGTGGGTAGAGCACAGATAACCCATTGTGTAGCTTTGCATTAACAGCATCTAACCGACAATAGTTATTTCAAATTATAGATTATTATTATTGATGTATTTACTTACTTTAATATCACCTTATCATTAAATAGTCACCTAGTATTAAAATATATGGTATATGTACCAAACATGAAAATCGGACGTTGGCTTCTTAGAACAATTAAGATTAATTTAAAGTAACTTGTAGTTTATCACTGATTTATGCATGCCTACTTCTTAGAAAAAGTAATAAAAAGTTAACTGATCAGACAGAACAAGAATAACAGTTAAAAATATGAATAATATGGTCTAACTTGTATAAACATACACACACACACACAAATATATATAAAGCCGTATAAGAATCTAAACTAACAAACACGTGTGTATAGATAGTTAACGTAAACAACTAGAAAAAAAGTGTCATTTCTGTCAGAAACAATGTCAGGTGTACAAGACATTCGAGTTACTGCGATAACAAGCAGAGAGAAAGTTACGAAAAGTAGCTAAAAATACCTTGTATGTCGAAAGTATGGCTTAAGGAAACAGAAGACCTGTCCACGTCTGTTATTTGCTATTTGTTACAGGCATCTGGCAGAGACAACAAGAGTGACAAGAAAACAGGATTGAAAGGCTGCAATGGAAAGTTTGTTCAGTACTGTTGGCATTGGCAAATAAAAAAGCTATTTGGTACCTAAATTCATTTTAAAACCGCTACTGTGATAAACTTTTACGTCGGCCAAGATTAAGCGTTGCTCGTTAAGTTTATTATCTAGTTTGACAATGTTTTTAGTGGTAATGTTATTCCTAATATCTCTCATAACAGTATCAACCATATTTTTTGAGAATCTAGTTTAAAGTTTAGAGAAATAGCTCATTATTGGCAGTCATAACTTTGAACAAACATTTTTGTATTAAGGTGCTTCTGTTAGACACAAGAAAAAAAGGAAAAAAAATAAAAGTTGAGAGCTTTTGTTTTGTGAATTTCACGAAGAAGCTAATAGATATTTGACATATTTTAATTTGAAGAGTATAGACAGGAAAGGAAATGGGTTTTAGGAACTAGGTAAACGCTTAAAACAAGTAGTATGGTGATAGGTATAAAAAAGTAAATAGAAAAGATAGGAAGTTCTTATTTTATATTCTAGCTTGTCAACATAGATAATTTGAGTTTCTAATTCATAAGAAACATTAGACTTTGTATTTGAACACCACAAACATATAATTTGAACCAATGCTGCATTCAACATACCACGTAACACACAGAAATCGATATTTAGGTGTGTTCTTTTAATATGTACTTTTAAATTAAGAAATTAAATAATGTATAATACTAACATTTGAATTATATTCTACCATTTGATACAAACTTATTGACATAAATTCATAAAATATTAGTTCAATAAAATCTTGAATGCAAATCGGTCAAACGCAATGACATGGCCTTTGACCCCTGACGATAGGGTTAAAGGAATTAGTATTAATGATACTGTCTGTATTATTTTGAAACACATTTAAGCCAATAGCTCATAGCTCGCCTAAGCATACTGCCTTTGGTTTCTTTGTAATATGTCTACGTTCCATCTTGAGAGAAAAGTGCTTATTTCGTTTAGTGAATCATAACTGATCATAAAAGGAAATGGCTATAATGCTGAAAGAGAAAGGAAATAATAATAATAATTCATTGTTTCGCTAGCTCAAATTGACCATAATTTTATATTTTTCTCGCAACAATTTTACCCATATCTTTGTATTTCATGTTTTATTCTGTTCAAACTGCATTTATTGTTAGTCTCAAATGTTCGTCTTTGATATTTTCGTATTTATACAGAATATAATGATTTAAACAACTGTCCTCCCATTCAATCTAAGTATAGCATACTATGAGGAAAATTTTACTAGTATCTTATTCTTAACAGTTGAATTGCAATGCATCAGGATAGTGAAGCCCATGTTAAGTTTGTTTTAGCGTAAAGCTACACATTGGGCTATCAGCGCTCTGTACAGTGCAGGGAATCGAATCCCTAATCTTATTGTTGTAAGTTCATAAACTTAGCTAGAACATGTGTTAAAAGTAAAAATATTAGGCATGTTTTGAAAATAATACTTATTTTCAAGTATTTTTTTTTTCATGCTGGCTTATTATTTGATATAAGTAGCGTTGGAGACCTAAATTTTCAAAAGAGGAATCAGAACAATAAATTCATTTGATTTTACTAGTTGGATTTATTTATCATAAATAGTGAAAATGAGCATTCAAAGTACTAAATTTAATTTGAGAAGAATCAATGCTCATTGTAAAAGCATACATCAAAGTATTTCCAATGTTCATTACCAAAAATGTTGATCTATGTTAACCAGAATTTACTAAATAAATACGAAAAACATAAACCTTTAATCTAAAGTGAAATATGTTTGATCAAATATAATGAAAAAATTTAAAAGTTTTAAGTCACCGACAAACATTTGACGTTTTAGAAAGTCAGAGAGATGGGTTTGTTTTTGTTTGTTGAATTTTATGCAAAGCTACTCGAGATTTATCTGCGCTAGCCATCCCTAATTTGGTGATGATGGAATAGATGAAAATAAACTAGTCAGCACCACCTACTGCCAATTCTTGAGCTACTCATTTTCAACGAATTGTAGGATTGTCCGTCACATTATGACGCCCTCACGGCTCTGTTCTAGTATTTATAGGCCTATTATTCTTATATCAGTTGTGGAAAAAGTTTTGAAAGTCTGATAAAAGATGTTATGCAGTCATTCAACAATGTTTAAAATTCTGTTAGATAGTTAATATGGTTTCACTAGGGAAAATTATGATTTACAGATTTTGTTACTTCTTTGAAGAGGTTACTGATTATGTATATGAGGTACGGTATTGATTTGGTGTATCTGGATTTTTAGAAAGCGTTTGGCAAGATGCCACATAAAAGACTTATTAAAATATCTTTGTATGTGTGAGAGATACATCAGCTCATTCTATAGAAAACTGGCTGGATGTAAGAAAACAAAGAGTCGTTCTAATGGAGTCCAATCAAACCGTTAGGACCTTTGCTCTTTTTAATTTATACCAATGACATAGATGAAGGAATTGTCAATGGATTATTTAAATTTCTGATGACATTTAAGTATTGGGTGTTGCTGGCTGTGAGGAGGACGCTACTGTCTCACAATTGGATTAGGATTATTTGGTGATTTGGGTCAATAAATGGCGGATTGTTATTAATTATAATAAATTCAATTTTAATGTATCTGGGATATTATTATTCGAATTATGAGTATGACTTTGATTGGAATAATCTTATCAGTGTTATGGAATAATACGATATTGATGTTCTTGTTGATCATTATTTTATATGGGATTTCAACAGAAATATTGAATAAAAGTCTAAGTGGTTATAATTTCATTATATATGTCATTTGTTAGGCCACATTTGAAGTATTGTGTTCAGTTTGGGCTCCTTACTTTAGAAAGGACATTGAATTGTTGAAAAGGATTCAGAAAAGGGCTACTATGATTATACCTTGGATGGAAAGGTAGCGTTACGACGACAGGTTGATATATACGAAACTGTTTTTTCTTTAAAATAAAAAAGGAGATAGAGCTGATATGATTGAGGTGTTTATGATTGTTAAGGGTGTTGATGATATTGATGTATCATCATTTTCGTACTTAACGGTAATAATGGTAGGACTAGGAGATACAAGTATCAAATTAGGCAGGATAGGTATCATTTTCAGCTATGACAGCTATATTTTTCTAACAGGGTGGTTAGCCTTTGGAACAGATTGTGTTACATATTACAATTTCAAATAGCCTAAAACAGAGTTATATTGTAATTTAGATTTAGTGGTTAAATAAATGCTGATATGTATCCAATTTATGATATTTGCCAACAAGATTGTTATGCACAGTTTTTTTTAATACAAATATATTTTAATATACAAACAATAATACAATTTACAAAAACAGTTATTATAAATAATGATCTATGTACAAAAGATTTACAACTTACAAACTGTATAAGTTAAGTACATTTCTAAATATAAATTTAATTTAAACAAACATCGATATTAATATATATATATATATATATACTAGTAAATTCGTCACAATTGTCATCAGACGTGGTGGATGCAATTAAATTAAAGGAGTTTAGTGGAAGGATTGATAAATATTCTATTTTAAAGTTTAGTTTAGTGGGGAGACGGCTTAAATGGACCAACAAGTCCTTTCTTGTCCTTAGATTGTATGTATTATGGTACATAGGCGATTGTCTAGACGTGTTAGATGATGAAGACACTGCAATCGAGTATGCTGGTATAAATTTTATTTATGCTATGCATCATGTGTAATTGATCAGATACTTCTATACAGGTGATGTAATCTGAACATGTGATTTGCAGTGAAAATGGTGTGTTGTATATGTAGATGACATCTGAGTGTTTACTAGTGAGAACCTAACCACATCATATTGAACAAGTTTAGACAAGCAGCGTTGAACCTGAAACCAGAGAAATATTCTGTTATGAAAACACATAATTAGTTACTTGGACATATAGTTAGTAAAAAGGGATCTTCTACAGATTCTGCTAAGATAAAGCAATGGTAAACTGGCCTTAAGTTACAACGACAAAAAAAGTCGAAAGTTTCGGTTTTGCACCACATCATAGACACTTTGTGGACAATTTCTCGACCGTAGCGAA